ACGTAGAGTTAAAGATACAAACAAAATGACACTACCAAATGGCCGTGAAACACTCTACAGTTAAATAAAAGACCAGCAGTAACTCAGATGTCAGCCATATTCTGTTGTCCTTGGGTTTTCACTAGTTCAGGATAGTGTAAATCACATGCATGTCTTGCCCTACCAGTGGAGCTCCTCACTTGCAGGTGAAAATAATTGAATGGTGACACCTTGTGCCACAGAGGTGTCTTTCAACTACCAAATATAACTTGAGAAACACTTGATAAGAATTGTAGCTTAGCATGAGTACTGTGGATAAAAATCATGTGTTCCTCACATTTATTACAAAAACTCTCAATTTAAAGTAATTTGAATTCTTTATTGTTTTTTACTTTCAGTAATTATTTACATGAAACAACAGCTGGCATGGTGATATGTAAACCTGCTATGTATTACAAACTGCTCAGTTCACTAGCCATGGCATTTCAATGGGCATTAGCAAGTCTAGTTAGGTGCTTTAGCCTGAAGGTAGTATGACTAAGCCTTCTGTACATGTTTTTATAGAGCAGGTAAATTGTAAATTATATTCATTTATATAGAACCTTTCTAAACTTACTACTAACTCAACATATTTTACAATTATGCTTTTAAGTATATGGTACATTCATGCAGTACAACCATGAACGTAATAAGCATAAACACAGGGATGGGTTGTTAATTGTAAATAAATATTGTTAGTACACTATTTTACTCTCTATTCAGTGTCCACTGAGCCACTGGCAGTGCAATATAGTGCTCTCTGGCTCCAGAACTGGTAATATTGTTCCACATTTTTCACAGTACTACTGCCTACTATCTCCATCGCAATATGCAGCACAACCACTTATCTTGGTACTTAATGACTGCCACAAGTCATTCACTAAACAAGTAGAAGCAGATAGAGTGCTGTAAAAATTATTTTCTCCCTTGGAGATTTATTTCCATTTATATTTTGAGAATTTGTTTTTTTCTTTGCAAATAACACACAAAATGTGAATTTTCCTCAAATCATGTTTTTTTTATTTTTTATTTGTTAAACAGGGTGTTTTTAAATGATCGTTTCATTTATTAAGAAAAAAAAATTAAACTCAAGATCAGTTGAAAAGCAAAGTCAGTGTGGAAAGGGTTACAAATGCATTTTAAAGCTTGGGGAATCCAGTAATCTTTACTGAGTCATTATCCACAAATAAAGAAAACCTTCAAGAGTGGAGAACCTTCCCAGGAGTGGCCAGCCTAACAAAATTACTCTAACAGCATATTGACAACTCATTCAGGAAGTCACAAAAGAACCGAGGACTGCGAGCCTCACTTGCCTGAGTTTAGCTCAGTATTCAGATTTAACAAAAAGGAGACTGTTATTTTTCGCCAGGAGTGTTTTTTGCGTGGAACTCTCCCATGTACGCCATTTTTACCCAAAGACTCATTTCAAATTTGCCAAAAAACATACACATCTTCAAGATCTCCAAAGGGGTAAATATTCTGTGCAGTGACAAGTCAAAGGTTTTTGGTTTTTGGAAAAGTTCTGTCCAATTTCTAAAAAGAACATAATTCTAACAATCAAATGTGGTGGTGGTAGTGTGATGCTCTAGGGCTGTTTTGTTGCTTTAGGACCTAGGCACCTTGTTATAGTTGATGGAGTCATAAATTCTGCTCTCTACCAGAAATTCCAGAAAAAAAAATGTCTGGGCCCTAGTTTTTGCCCTGAAGCTCAAGTCCACTTGGATTATGCAATTGGACAATGATCTGAAACACACCAGCAAGACCACTTCTGACTGGCTAAAAAGAGATGGCTTTAAATGGTCTAGACTTAAATCCACTTTAGATGATCTGGCATGACCTTACACAGGCCATGCATGCTCAAAACCCTCCAATGTGCCTCAACTGAAAACAATTCTCCAAAGACGAGTTGGCCAAATTGATATGAAAGACTCATTGATGTAGCACAACTAGTTATTAGGTTTGGGGGACAATTACTTCTTTGAATAGGCTCAGGTAGGTTTGCGTGAAATCGTCATTTTAAAACCGAATTTCTATGTATTCAACTCATCTATGTCCAATTATGAAAATATGTTCGGTAATCTGAAACATGTAAGGGTGACAATTTAAAAAAAACAAAAAACAAAGAAAAGAAATCAGAGTAGGGGTAAATACCTTTTGACAACACAGTATTTATTATTCAGAAAGAAAAGAGAAATGCTTGTGCAAAAATGCTGGGATTACCCGCAGCTGCACATTTTACCTTAAAGACAGTCATACCTGTATAATATACACATACTGGCTTTAAACTTATTTGTTTCTCTAATATGTGCAACCCAGGGATTTTTTTTCGTGGTGATCTGTGTATTTGTGGAAAAAAGTCATATTGTTTCTAAAGCTGAGCTGAATGATGCTAATTATTCTGCTGCTCACATCTTCTGAAGTTCCCGCTGGCAGTGGCTTTCTTTATGTCAGAATGATACTGCTTTGTGTTGCCCTTGACTGTCTTAATATTAAAGCAAAATAACCTTTGAGGAATTCTTCTACCTACAGCTCGGAAGCAGCAATCGTTCATTTAAAATGTATTGCCAGAATCACATTAATGCTGTACTTTCCCTGGAATAAAAGCTTTTAACTCTTGACAACCTGCTGCTGTCACTTGGCTCCCATCACTATATTTGATTCCCGATGTGAGATAGAAACACTTTCTGGTTCAGCTTGGAATGTATCATTGTTTGAATTTCTTGTTTTAGGACAACTTTGATAACCTGAAGAAATTTACTGTCAGGAAAATGCAACAAATGAGATCATGGCTGCCTTCCAAGCAATAATGCATTTCCCCAAATATGCAGTTTCTCAGTGCTATAATTTATTTGCAAATATGTGTTATTAGAATATAATTGTAGCAGTGTTTTAATCTTATTAAATGACTGTTTAATAAATACACAGACAGTGTTGCCATTCATGTCAAATGAAACAATCAAATCAGAGGTCAGCTCCACAGCTGCCCTCATCCTCTGCCTCCAGTCCAAAACTTGCTGCCCCTGGTCCACCTCTCTAAGTCCAAATCTCAACACCTGCTGTCCTTCCAAGCTTCTGCATCTTTGCCATTTGGTTGATGAGGCTCATCACAGGCAAGGCAGAGGGGGCTCACAGCATCAGCCTTGCAGGGTGCTCTAGGCATGTAGCTGTCAAATGTGGACATGGACAATGCCATCGCATAGCAGCTCCACAGGCCTTATTCCCACCCACAGAAGCCAGCAAGGCGGAGGAGAATAATTTCTGTGTTGCTTTCATCATCATCCAGTGGCCCCTGCTTGGGGGAAAGCTCAAAGCAATGCATGTGAATGGCATGGTTTCCTACATTATGGACTGACTAGCTCACTGACAGCTCATCTTGCTCAAGGGCAGCGTATTGGATACACTGTGGCGCAGCACAGGGTTACTCTATTGTCAGCTTTTGGTTCAATTTCTAAACCTCTCTTTTAAAGATTGAACTTGGGGTCATGGCAGTGCAACAGGTTCTTTGATGACTTCTCTGCTGTGGGGTGTACATGTTAGGATAGGAAAAGGAGAATATTAAGGAGCCAAAAACCTAACATCTGCTACAGTCACAACCTTTTGCAGCTTGACATCAGCATGACAAAGGAGCTAGTGGATTTCAGCCAGTCACCATTCAGCGTGAGGAGTATGAAATGGCTGGTTTTAGTTAATCCAACATGTAAATCAAGTCAATGTCAAGTCAATATGACAACCATAGTATATAATTTGCAATATTTTCATCCTCATCAAATCACTCATAATCCCATCCAAAGAGCATGAAGGCTCCCTTATAATTATGGAATTGACCACCCCTTTTAACATAGAAATGTTTCATCGCAGTCTGATAAAGATGAGCTCTTAAAGCTTGTAGGCAGTGGTTTCTCCAGCAAAGTGGCGTGCTTCACAGGTAAGTAAAAGAGCCATTGGAGTTGAAACATGAATGACTTGCTTGCTTTTATTTATCTTTTCAGAACAGACCAATTTTTGGCAGAGATAATGAAATTCTAAATTGTCTACTTAAGTATGATTCACAAGTGACTCTCATATAAGAAAAGGATCCATATTAATTATTTTTAATTGTTAACAATGTGTGAAAGTTTAAAAACGATTGATCCAAACAATGTCAGAAAACAAAGCTACTGGATTAATGTGTTTCTCTACATATGTCACCAATCTATAAAATCTAATAAATACATATCATTTATTTTTACATATTGGTGTGTATTTATGTATGTATTCATGTGGGTAGGCAAATGTACCGTACCCTATCTGTCATTCTTTCACAGGGATTCTGAATTTCTAACACCACACCTGCTTTATTCTGAAACAAAATGAACAGCAAGCCAGCAACACTCAAACAAAATAATCTCACAGTGCAGAGTGGGGAGATGAGAAAAAATAAAATATCATAAAATGCAACATTGACACATAGTTAAATCATATGCTGGAGTGCTATAATAGAACACAGGTTCAAATATACAAGTGTTAAATCTGATAAGAACACTGTTAACCACTTAAAGTTCTTAAAAGATGAAAACAACACATAGCTTTTCACAAAGAGTATGAATAAAATGAAAATAAGTCATAATTGCATTTGTATTTGTATCACATCAATAGTAGGGTACGCAACCCCTTCTAATTTTCAATTTGAGCACCTCAGCTCTGTGCATCCTCAACAAGACATTAACCAGTAAGATCAATAACATTCAAGGGCAATGAGCAGAATGGGCTAAACACCGAGTTAGGCATGCTATAACTTATCTTCTGCATGTGCACCTTTAAAACAAACAAGCACTAGTGCGTTCTTATATAGGTTATGGTGACCTTTAGTAACTCATGTAGTACCGGGCTTGATTAGCTGTTCGGACCAAGACATAGAAGCTATAAAGACGGAATCAGTTCCCGTGCTGCACAAGAGGAAATCATATTAGTGATGTGACAATGAAATATAATCCGAGACTTACTTTAAGACGGCGCTGTCTCCCTGTCTGACGGTGATGTTGTCTTTTAATACAGAATCCCCGCTTCTAGCTGGAACTCCTGCAGGTACAAGGAATAACAATTTAAGTCCGATGACGACAAGGCATTTCCCAGACACCGCCAGATAACCACAAATTCCCATGTTTTTATATCACTGCGCAACTTCCAAGGGAACTTGAATGTCTGATATTCCCCTTTGCGTTTTGAGCTAGGGACCGCAAAATTCCACTCCACAAACAAGACGCAGTATAGCCTGCTGGAACTGCGCTCGACCTGCTTTTGCTTCAAACGAAAAGCCTCGTTATGAAATCCCGTAACCGTGTCTTTGCGTCCGCCAGCCGCTCTAGGAAAATGACTTCGGAGGAGAGAGAAAAGCACCGTGTTTCTCAAAGAAATGCGCACCGTCTCCTCAGGTTCGAACTGTAATCGCCGTGAAATGGATGCTCTTGCACAGATGCATCAGCCAAGACTCCCTATATATTTTTTCCTCCTCTCCCTCGGTGTTTTCTTTCCTTGGTGCTGCACGGGGGACAATATTTAAAGCTGCAAATACTCAAACAAAAGGCTGAATTCGCTCTAATATCTTCTCTCTTGTTTAGCTCCTGGAGTACTCTCTCTCTCTCTCTCTTTCTCTCTAATCGCCAGGTAGCATCACTTGCATGTATTATGTGGAGCATATGGTCTGCAGCCTGCAGGGCTCGCATATTCATACAGTTAATGGACAAACGGATTCAGGAACCACCGTGCATCTTTCAGGGGCGTATATAGAGGACACTTTTATTTGGTCAGATGAAAATAATTATTTCTTAGGGGACTGATTACCACAGGAAGGAAACAGGCATTTAAAATGATATTACAATCTTAGCTTTCATTGGTATAAGATGGGACAGGCAACAAAAAAACAAAAACGAAATTGGTCAATTTCACAGTCATTTCATTCAAACTGTTCCCATCAGAGTACGATTTATGATTACTTCGGAGCTTCACATTTGCCCCTCCTCCCACGGTAAGAAGTGCTTGAGGCATGATTTTTGTTGACGTAGGGTTTGATGATTCAAGTGACCAAGTGTTCTCAAATGAGATTACTGTTTCTCTGTTTTTTCGGGTCAAGGACAACTTCAAATGAATAGAATGGTGCTGTAAGAAAAAAAATTATCATCCTCAAAACTGTTATTCTTAATATGAATTCCATCAAATGGGTCCTGTATTTCACAATTACCCCCCCCAAAAAAAGGAACCAACAAAAAACAACAACATTGTGTTAATCTGCTGTAAATATAAATTCCTTATATTTACACACACAGATTTGCGCTGTGTGTGCAAATCTGTTTTTATTATTATTATTATTATTATTATTATTATTATTATTATTATGGAGTAGAATGTGAAAACTATAAATTGAGGTTGGATACTTCTGATTTTCCATTAAAACAGTAATCACGTGACTATGCGCTCTGATAAATAGCCAGTCACCAGTTAAACCCTGTGAAATAGAGTCAGTTGATCAGAATGTCTTTCACCTTTATATTTCATACGAGAATTTATGAAATGATGACAATTCATTCATTCAAAGTCTTACTTCAAAGTCTAGAACCATCAAAATTGACATTTTAAAATGTCATACTGACCTCTACCTGTAATGATTTACACTGATGTCTTTAATTAAAAGAAGCATCGATAACTTGTAGATTTTTACAAAAATCCAGTAGTGAATCATTTTAAATTAATGTTAACCACTTTTAAAGGCTACAGGGCGATTCTTTAATGTAAAATATATAAAGGTCTTAGTTCAACAGTTTAAAATGTTGAAATAAAAAATCTATCAACAGAATATGAAGAATTAACAGCTATAATATGCTAAAGACTTCTATGCATGAGTTCTGGATAAATATCCCCCAAGGTAGCATGCCAAGCAATTGGTGCTCTCCCATATCAACATATAATACCTCTTTGTACTTAAGATGGAATAGCAAATTGATTAATTAATTAATGTCCAGTCTAACCACAATACAACTTCACAGAATAAAAATGTATTACTGTCAAGAAACATATTTTTAATATACACACATCCTGTCAAACATGTTGAAGAACAAGCAGTTAAAGAATGAAACAAAGAAAACAATGAATGAGGCATTTGGCAAGTGGCCACTGGATTCCATACCAATTGGAGATTGATGTTAAAGGCTGAGTCAAATTGGGCTAAGACTATGATAGCAATAAATAGGATCAAGACAAGCCACTGTGTGTTATGTGATGGTCAGTATTTTAAGAATATTCTGTATAGTGCACTTTTAAAGGAAAGTGTTAACATTAATGAGAAGCTGAACTTCACTGAGCCACATTGGCTTTGTTTACTAATGTGCTCTTGCTCTTTTCTCCGCTCCCCATCTGTATGCATGGAGGGGTTGCAGGCCACTAGGGATGAAAGTGGCACTTTGCTGTGTACCTAACAGAAGCTCTCACGATTACTATGACAGCTTTTGAGTCTCATAAGAAGATTGAACAAGATAATTTCTTTACCTCAACATCAATTTGGGATGCTGTTAAGATATTGGATAGAAGGCAACAAATGACAATGCACTGAAAGCACTGAGTGTCATCACTCAAGATACAAGTAACACATGATGTTGTTCCTTTCTAGTATCAAATGCTTGCGCAAGTGTGAAAGCAGCAATGGGTTCTTCTGTTCATCAGACTTTTCACACACACAGCCAACTTGACAATACAAATATTCCTACAATATTGTCTATTGCCAAAAAGACAATCATGTAGCATAAAGCAATGCTTTTTGAAGACTTTATTAACCAATTTTATGATTGAGAACAAAAACTTCAGCACAATGTCATTAACCATGAAATATATAGTCCACAATGTCCTGTATATCCCATTTGTTACCATTTCTAGGCAATAGGTAAATGCTGTTTCAGTTTCCAGAATTTTCCACCCCAACACAAATTACTGCTGAGTTCACAAGTCGGTACCTTTTGTTACGTTCATTTTATTTAAAGTTGTTATTTAGAATTTATGACGATGTCTTGTGCCAGAGAAATTGGGTAAAGATAAGACTTAATTAAAATGATAGTTGCTTTTGATGCCACACAAGTCCTGACTATGCGCACAACTTAATGGTTTTTAAATTAAAACCCCTCCCTGACCTCAGCAAAATGTGGTCTTAATTAGAGTCAAGAGTACAGGGTGGTTGTAAGCTCAAGCACTTGTTCACAGATACTTCTTTGTTTGATTAGAGCTTCATTTGGTCACATGGCATTGCTCTAACACCATTGTGGCTTCTGTTTCCACACTGCTTTGCACAGCGAGGATACAGCGGGTTTAATAAGAAAACAGAAGCGATGAGGAGTGGCTGCTATGTGCAGTCAGCTATCAGCTTGTTGGAGTACTGTTCTGGGAATATAAGACTGCAATCCATTTCAATCCGTGTCATGTGTATTATCCTTTTGCCCCTCATTGTGCTGCCTTACAGCAGGTCAGGTGAATCCGATGACCTTGCCAAATCTCCACCACAAGTGAGAGAGCCAAGCATGCAGAAATGACAAATTATAATGGCATTGTTTGTTGGATATCCCACATGAATCATTCTTGGTGTATCACACAAACATAGAGGGAGAACAGAAGATAAAAAGAATGCTCAGTTGTGTGGCCTTGAAAAACTGTGCATGCACTAAAACAGGAAGTGGACATATTGATTTTAACAGGCTGCCTTTGTCCTTCATTCAACATCTTTTACAACTGGCTTTAGCCATATTGAATTCAACTCTTGCATTGTGTTTCATTTAGTTTACTTATACATGCAGTGACATCATATAATTTCCTGCTGCAACGTATTAACACCAGACCCTGGGTGGTTCATTCAGACTATCCATACTAATCTTCATTCATATCATGCAAGGATGGGCAGAGCGAGCAGACAATGGACGGGCCTCATACCAAAGCTAGTTAATACCCATGCAAAAACATGGAGAGACTGAATAAAGAGCATCCATTCAATGGATTCAGTCATCTGCAGTAGTTTAGATCCTTCTGGCACACAGTTGTAACATTGCACAACATATCCTTGAAAGAGTGACATTCTGTGGTTGGTCCAGCAAAATTTTGGGAAACAGTTTGAAATGTAGTTGTGTGTGGTAGTATCCATAATCTTTTACAGCCTTTCTAAACATCAAGTCCCAGTAAACAAGAATTTTAGAATAGCTTTCTGATCAGTTCTAAGAGAATAAAAAAAAAATGCAGTGGAATTCTGTACAAAAACAATGTCTTGACTTTTAGTACTCTATTTTAGAGGTAATAATTTGAACTTGCCTTCCCTTACATTTGTGTTTCATTTGGGCTTTTCTGTACTTTTCAATAACTATACATACTATGTATATGTTCATTTCAGAAGACAAAGGTGGCTTTTAAATCACTATTAAGTCTGCCATTACTTTTATGAATTTGCTTCATTTTTCACTGTAGGGCATCATTGTTACTGGTAAAATCTGGTTTGCTTTGTAATGTAATTGGCTGAAATGGAGGGCTTACTGGGTTTTCTCTTTGAAGGTAGACATTCCTTCTGCTGTTTTCTCTTCCCTTTATTTTTTAAATTAAATTGCTTCTTGTTTCAGGTTTGCTTTAAACTGTGTAGAAGCTTAAGTTCTCCTGGCATGCAGCGCTACACATGATTTCAACTTTGATCTCAGATAACTACATCTGCCACAGTCTTGACTAATCAGACAGCTAGAATCAGATATGTTTGCTGCAGTCGCAGCATGCAAAACAAAAGGCAGTTTGTCTGTAGCCAGACTTTAAAATTTAAGGCTGCTGCTTTCTTTGCTCTCACAAAGTGTTTTGTTTTTTTTACTCTGATCTGATCCAGGTCCTCCAAGTTTTTTACCTGATAATGCTACGTGATGTCTTGCAAAGTCAGTTGGTGTAGACAAGAGATAAGGACTGAATTATTAAAGATGCTGGTACCTTTAACTGATCTAAATGCCCAGACATTCTGTGTTATCAATAGGTGCAATATTGTGTGTGCTCCGAACATGCATGTTCAGTAAGTATGCTGATACATTATCTAGGCTTCCTCTGACCTCTGCATGGCATTATTGTGAGGATGGCTGAATTAAAAATATGAGTTCAAATACGCTGCCCTGACATGAAACATTTTTACTTAACAGAGGGTTCAGTTAAAAAGAAAAACAAAAAAAACCAAAAAGAACAAAAACATTTTCTTTTTCATTCCAGTCTATCAATATTCCAACAATTTTACCATCTTCTGACTACAAGTAATGGACACAAAAGCTGCTTTAAGGTCAAAGCCAAATCCCCCTGTATACAGCTTTTGTGAGAACCTTGAAAATATGAATGGTATCAACAAGGACTCAGTGTGCATTACTGTGTGTGTTTTTTTTTCACTCTAGTCCTTGCATGTTTATTCTTTGAAAATACAAGTGAATGCATTTGATCCCTTCAATATTTTCTTTTCAGTTATTTCAGTGGCACTAAATAGGAGGCAAATGCTTATGCAACACACCTTATTTGGAGTAAACCACATCTAGGATCTATGCCATGTAAATGATGGCTTTGAGATGGCGTTTCAACAGTTACCTTAGGGGA